TCTAAAACTCGTCACAAAATAGAGAGTGTTTTACAATTAAATCAATCAAAGATTTTAATTTTTGTTTAAACACCCGTGCGGTAATATCGGGACGATGAATCGGCGTTTGTACATGTAATAACAATTTTTTTATTTCATCCCAATGTGGATTACATGTATATGTTTTAAATAAATCTGGTCGACCATATCCACGCACATACGTCATTGCGTTTTGGATGTATTCTTGCATATGACGTGGGCTGCCAGTATATGAAGATGGAAGTATGAACACATTACCAATATTACTAAGATTCAAATTCCCATCTATATTATTATTAACAGCATCGCGTAGATGTATATACTCTTCTGCACGCAATTTTGTTTGGTTGAATCGAATGTATCGCAATCGTTCGCTTTTAATTTTCGTGTATATATCGACTACGATTGATGAAATAATTGACGGAACTTTAAAATGTGATTATCTTCATGGTTTCGGATCATCAAACGATATGAATAATAGTTCATTGCGCTAACATTTTTGTTTGTTTCTTCACCTGAAAATAATTTATTAAATAGTTACTAAACGGAAATCTATTCAATCAGTTACAAAACTACACACCAGTTAATGGATTTCGTTGTTTAATATTGATTTGATATCCATCTTCTCCCTCCCAAAATATTAGGGGATATTGCAATGCATCATATGAACGATGAGTATTTTCAATTGTTTGCCATGTTTTATCTCTACGCATAATTTTAATGTCTCGTTTTTCAAACTGTTCGCCAACTATTACAACAGCGATTTCATTTATAGTTGGAGCGTTAAATCGTCGTGTATGTTCTCCAACTGGTACTTTGTCGGCTTTGATTACAATCATGTAATTGTCATTTTGTAATCTGTTCGACACTCCTTTGAACAATTTCATTAACTGAGTGTTCTCATTTACAAACGCTTCTAAAGATGCAACTATTGTTTTTTCTGCATTTATTTCAATATGATTATAGTTGCATCTTGCATTTACTCTATCTTCCTCACTGCCCATAAAGTAAATTTGCAGAAATTTGGGGTCCTCATCGGGCATCGATAGTAACGAGCCAATTCTATGATAAACCTGACCTTGAATTTTGAAAGTTGTTTCAACATTGAAATTGTTGTTACTTGTATTTTTAACTACGTTTGTTGCTCCAAATGAGGTCATTTGAAAGCATGAATTAAATTTTCGAATTTTTTTCAAAAATAATTTTGACTTATATGTTATGCCAGCTATTAATATTTTCAAGTGCACTTTCCCTGATGCGCAACACATTCCAGGTGTTTTATTTTTAAATTTTAATGCATGACAATATCCACATTCAATATTCATTTCGCCAACTACAATTTTGGAATGTGCTGAATAATCTATTACTGGATCATATTCAAATGCAAGACGATTGAACGATGACCTTGTCAATGCACGTTGTTTTTGAATGCGCTCTCGATTTTGTTGCCTATTTACATCAGTTATGTGTTGATGCGTTCGTCTATGTCGTGATATATCTCCGTTTAACCGTTGGTTTCTTTGGTTCTGAGTTTCATTTAAACGCAACTGCACCATTCGTTCCCTATCAGTGTCATTGTTTCGCAAATGTTCCTCAGAACTTCTGGTTTCTCGTCTTAATCGCATAGTTTGACTTCTCTGTGTGTATTTAGAAAGATTTGTTTTTGCTTTAAATCTTGGCATTTTTTCTTTAAGCACAGCTACAATTAATAAGAAAAATATCTTTTTCCTCTATTCTAATTAGTAAGCAAATGTATATATATCCAGTTTAATTTTTCAAATATATTGAAATCTATGCTAATGTAATAAATTTTTTTTATTTGAAAAAAATAAAAAGAAAATCAGTATCATTCAAACTGTCGGACAGTTTGAAACGGAAATTATTAAATTTATTATTTAAGTTAAAATTATAACTAATATCGAATGTTTTAATAGCCTATGTTTCGCAGAAAAACTATATAAATAAGATCTGAGAGTATTAAGAAGATTAGTTAAGTCATTAAAAAGTTATTGAGTAACGAACAGACGAACAAACGATTTTATATATATGTAGATATATTATTATTATATTTATTATTATATTATTTATATAAAATAGTAGTTATAATTTTTTTTGTTTTTTTCTTCCCTTTATTATACAACTGCCAAGATTTAGCATTTACATTTTTACATGATGGAACTTCAAGTAATAATTCAAGAACAAGATTAAGAATTACATCGTTTGTTCGTCTGTTCGTTACTCAATAACTTTTTAATGACTTAATACTCTCAGATCTTATTTATATAGTTTTTCTGCGTAACATAGGCTATTAAAACATTCGATATTAGTTATAATTTTAACTTAAATAATAAATTTAATAATTTCCGTTTCAAACTGTCCGACAGTTTGTGTGTGTGTGTGAATGATACTGATTTTCTTTTAATTTTTTTCAAATAAAGAAACGATTTCCGTTTAGTAACTATTTAATAAATTATTTTCAGGTGAAGAAACAAACAAAAATGTTAGCGCAATGAACTATTATTCATATCGTTTGATGATCCGAAACCATGAAGATAATCACATTTTAAAGTTCCGTCAATTATTTCATCAATCGTAGTCGATATATACACGAAAATTAAAAGCGAACGATTGCGATACATTCGATTCAACCAAACAAAATTGCGTGCAGAAGAGTATATACATCTACGCGATGCTGTTAATAATAATATAGATGGGAATTTGAATCTTAGTAATATTGGTAATGTGTTCATACTTCCATCTTCATATACTGGCAGCCCACGTCATATGCAAGAATACATCCAAAACGCAATGACGTATGTGCGTGCATATGGTCGACCAGATTTATTTAAAACATATACATGTAATCCACATTGGGATGAAATAAAAAAATTGTTATTACATGTACAAACGCCGATTCATCGTCCCGATATTACCGCACGGGTGTTTAAACAAAAATTAAAATCTTTGATTGATTTAATTGTAAAACACTCTCTATTTGGAGAAACACGTTGCTGGATATATTCTATTGAGTGGCAAAAAAGAGGTTTGCCACATGCTCATATTTTAATTTGGTGTGTTCAAAAAATCAGACCTGAAGAAATTGATAAAATAGTTTCTGCAGAAATTCAAATGTTGACAAAGAGCTATTTGAAATTGTGACAAAAAATATGATACATGGTCAATGCGGAAATTTAAATATGACGTCACCTTGGATGGAAAATGATAAATGCACAAAAGGATTTCCAAAAGAGTTTGTAAGAGATACGATAACTAGAATTGATGGCTATCCTATATATCGTCGAAGAAATTCGGAAAATGGAGGCCAATCCTTTTCACTAAAGTTGAAAAATATTGAATATGAAGTTGAAGTAGACAATAGATGGGTAGTGCCATATTCGCCATTGTTATCCAAGATATATAAAGCGCACATCAATGTAGAATTTTGTAGCTCCATAAAATCAATAAAATACATTTGCAAATATGTTTATAAAGGTAGTGATATGGCAGTATTTGCAGTTCAAAATATAAACGAAAATGATGAAATAACACGCTACCAAATGGGCCGATATATCAGCAGTAAAGAAGCAAGTGGAAACAACGTTCGCCGGGTCAGCTAGTTATATTATATTATATTATATTATATTATATTATATTATATTATATTATATTATATTATATTATATTATATTATTTTATTATATTATATTTCTATATTTCTTATTATTTTATATTTCTTTATTTTTTATTTTATTATATTTTAATATTTTTTTTTATTATATTATATTATTTATTATATTATATTATGTCATAGTACTATAGTGTTTATTATATTATATTACTATACATGTTATCATATTATATCACTAGATTTTTATTATATTATACTATATTTTTTATTATATTATATTTCTATATTTCTTATTATTTTATATTTCTTTATTTTTTATTTTATTATATTTTAATATTTTTTTTTATTATATTATATTATTTATTATATTATATTATGTCATAGTACTATAGTGTTTATTATATTATATTACTATACATGTTATCATATTATATCACTAGATTTTTATTATATTATACTATATTTTTTATTATATTATATTTCTATATTTCTTATTATTTTATATTTCTATATTTTTTATTTTATTATATTTCAATATTTTTTATTATATTATATTGCTATATTTTTTATTATATTTTATTTTTATAGTTTTGAGCTATATTTTTTATATTATATTTCAAATTTTCTTATTATGTTATTTTTAATTTTTTTTATTATAACATATTACTATATTTTTTATTTTATCATATTACAACATTGTT